CAGTTCGGTGGTGGAGTCTCATCAACAAAAGCCAGACAAATATTCTTCTTTATTTGGGTGTATTCATCCTGAATATTCCAGTATCTTCAAGTTTTTATTATTCAAACGAAACCATATATAAAATTAAACCGTATGTCTATTTTTGCGTAGATGGGGTGAACAAGATGATTATTGTGTAGTACATTTTGTTTTAAATCCAGTTGGCTGACTTGATGGAAGATAATATAGAGCTATCTTGGGAACAGACAGTCTACATAAGGATAGGAGACGAGAAAGGAAAAAAGAAACATTTCCCAAAAGAAAAACTATATAATTTCTTAACATATTTCTTTAATCTATACAACGTGTCGATTCTCAGAAAACGAGAAAACCTAACAGGATATACTATCAGCCGTCATAAGCTTAACAGGATAAGATAAGCGAATAACACTCAGCTGATGTCGGAAAGCTCGAGAAGCTAGAGAAAATGGCAAATGAAAGCGAGAAGAAAGGTCTCACTGTTAAGTGTAAGAAGCCAGAAAATATCATTGCCAGCAAGAGAGGCAGCCAAAAGCGTGTTCTTGGAACCGAATACAACAGAATTTTCAGTATATCCTCTATATGTCATACTCAGAAGAAGTTGTAGTAAAATCGAAACATGTTAGATCTATAAACGTTTCAATTTGCTTCTTATCCTATCCTATCCTATATATATATATATATATATATATATATATATATATATATATATATATATATATATATATATATATATATATATATATATATATATATATATATATATATATATTTGAGTACGCAGGTAGGCAGAAAATAGAAAAAGAACACGTTGGGTGCATAATCCGGAGTTACTTAGTATTTTTGTTTTTTATTTTTTAAGAAGACAGTGCTCCATACAAAAATAGAGCTTTATTATAATATTTTTTTAAAAATAAATTAATTTTAATAATTATTTGGATGGTTTCGGCTCTCGTTTTTGAAACATGAGAACTCTTATGTAGCGAAGGAATCATATTTGTAAACAAAAAATATCATATATATATATATATATATATATATATATATATATATATATATATGTATAAAATTATGATAATAGAATAGAATTCTAAATTAGATTTAATATAATTTTAATTCTATGAAAAATAGAATTATTTAAGTAAAATATTTTTTTTCACTAAGATGATTGATGTTACCTTAAGTAACCCGACTCCAGAGTTTCGTAGACGGTCTCCCCAGGAATTACTCTTTCAACAGGTTTTTTAGCAATTGACTGTTTATACTTCTCGACTTTTCTTTTTATATGCAATTTTTCATTGGTGAAAGTGTTTTTTCATAGCGCGTGCGTGTGTGTGTGTGTGTTTTTGTGTCCCTGAGTTTGGTCGTGTAGTGCGTATGTGTAGAATGCCGTGATTATTTGTCATTTCCGTCGTTTTTGATTTCCCTTTACCCTCACTCTTTAACCTTTTCTCTTTTTCTGTTTCGTAAAATACATCTATTGGATGCTTTAGTACACATCGTCAGTGATCTTTCTAACCGAGGTTCATTGGGTGTTTCGGGTCTTTCAACATCATACCTCCTCTCCAAGGTGACCCTGCCGATACTGATCGGGTATCGTCTTGTGTTCCTTCCGTCAGCTTCAGCTTTTTCCATCTTCCAAACTACACACCATACGACACTTCTTGGCAAATTATTGTCCAATACCCGATAACTTCCGGTTCACCAGCAGTGTACGCTCTTCCATAAAAAAGGAAGGAAACACAGCGACAATTTCTATCTGATCAGGAATATGGCGGCGTGCTTGACTTGAAGTAGTAAATACAGATTTCATTCCCCATTCCGAGACACACACACACACACACGCACACAGAGAGAGAGAGAGAGAGAGAGAGAGAGAGAGAGAGAGAGAGAGAGAGAGACACTCAAACATGAAATTCTGCTTTTCATTCATGTTAGTCATCTGGCGAAGGAAAAGGAAAAAAAAATTCCTTTTTCCTCCTTCCCAATTTTCCCCTGATCCTCCACCTATATGACTTACACACACGCACACACATATCCAAAAAGAAAAAAAAAAACAACAACTAAATACCGTAAACCTGGTGCGGGTAAACCTTTGCTAGATCTTAGCCAGGGATCACCCGTATGTAACAATGGTACCCTAATTCTGTTCCCTGGTCGAGTCTCCATTGTCGGATGTAGTTTTCGTTCATACTAGGATCTCCCCATCAAAATTATATATGTATATATGCACCGCAAATTACTTTCATTTCCTACCTGACTGTCAATCGCTTTATCTTTTCAATCGAAGCCTCTTCCCATGCCAATTTTATTAATTTTTGAGCGTTCTATTGTGGGTGCGCATCTCTCTCTCTCTCTCTCTCTCTCTCTCTATATCTATATATATATATATATATATATATATATATATATATATATATATATATGAAAAGAGAAAGAGGAAATTCTGAATTCTGACTGTAACGTGCAATTATTAACTTCTGAACCAGTTTTAAAATAAGCAAATACCTTATCTACCATGTACTTCATTACGCCGAGAGAAGGGTTTTTTTTTTTACTATTAACACCAGGCAAACTGACCTTGTCACGCTGGTGGGATGCCGATGGCAACGCCAGAGGTCCTCTGATGGCAGCTACTGGTGGTCCTCTAGCTGTCGGGCATTGTTAACATTGCCGAGAAAATATCGGCGGTCCAACATCAGGCCACCAGCGGTAAACGCTAGTGGCATGCCACCCAGTGGCAGATTGGTTGCTTGCGCGTAGGGGAGTAATGGTGATTTTCAAAGCATGACTTAGGTATGGCAAAAGGCCGAAAGTATAGGGCGCACTGTGTGGAAAGAATTCACTATTCAGTCGTAATTGTTCGAGCTGGTCAAGGTTGCTAATTATTACACCATATCGAGTGCCCAAACTATGAACAAGTAATGAACTTATTCTGCCGGTGTGTAAAATTGGAGTGGTTTTCTGGGAACTTTTCGGCCAGGACCCGCTCCCAACATTCAACCACATATATGCAATACGACAGAGATCCCCTAATTAGTTTGGCCGAAAACGATTTTTTGCAATCCCTAGTAGGTTAGGCAATTTTTCTCATTTTTACCTGTTACGTAATCTTTTTCGCCAATTATATTTGTTTTCCTTAGTCAACGAATATTCAGTGCTTTGTTTGACTCGTAGCTAAAAGGCCAGTCCATCAAATTTCATGCCTTGCAATCTCTGACAACGTTTTCAAACATGAAATTCTTCATTCCACTTTAGTTCACTGGTTGCTTGGTTCCGCTGTATGCTTTCAAAGATTCACAATTTCCGATCAAACTGAGCCGACGTCCGTTATTTGAGACGTATAACAAAGATCAACAAGACCTTATCACTGGAGAATCACCGCCTAGACTGACTATTTCCTCAACAAAGATTTCTCGACTTTTGTGCTAGTTATATTATTTCAAACCTCTTGTTCCAAAGTTGTTGAAAATTGTTCTAAAGTTGATATGTTAATGTTAACACATCTTCGATGTCAGATTTTGAAATTTCTGTGCAGTACCATTGTCTTGAGCAGGAAATGGGATCTCGCACATTGTAAATATTGGTCGCATCTTTCAGGTTGTTCAGTGTTCGTCTGAGTGGTCGTGGAAAGTAGACAAAGGCATGGTGTTGAAGAAAGCCGCTGAAGAAAAAGTGAAAGAGAAATATATCAGAGAAAAGAGGAAAAATGTAAGAAGAGAGAAAAATAGGAAAAAAAATAATGAAAGAATTTTATGATGAGGAAATTGAATAGGTAATAAAAAGTGAAGGAGAATATATAAACACATGACTCAGTGGCTAAAAGCATTGGTTGAGTAATTCAAAAAGGGGGTTCAATACCTGGCCGCAGCAGGGGAACAAAAACTTGGTGGGTTGAGTTACTAAAGAGAATTAACTGAAACTGAGATATCCAAAACCTCTATGGAATTAGAACAAATTACACCCGTGGATTAAATACTGGGTTCGTTTCGAAATTCTGACGTATATCACCTGATGAACGACGGGGTACAACGGCTGAAACGTGGTGAATATGACAATAAAGATAATGTCAACGGTCCGAACGATGTAAATAGTGTAAATAGTTACAATGCTTCATCTCAGTAAGAGAAACAAATTTCTGAGAAGAAAGAAAGAGAGAAAGAGAGAAAAAAGGGTGGAAATGAGATGTAAGCACAGAAGAAAAATGGGTAGAGAAAATTGAACAAGAAAAAATACAAGTTCAAAAACAAAAAAAAAAAAAACAAATGAGCAAAAGGAAGAAAAAGGAAATGAAATACGACAAAGAGAGAAAAATTATATGCGACAATAGAAAGAGAAATATGACAAAGAGAGAAGAATTATAAGCGACAATAGAAAGTGAAATATGACAAAGAGAGAAGAATTATAAGCGACAATAGAAAGTGAAATATGACAAAGAGAGAAGAATTATATGCGACAATAGAAAGTGAAATATGACAAAGAGAGAAAAATTATATGCGACAATAGAAAGTGAAATATGACAAAGAGAGAAGAATTATATGCGACAATAGAAAGATAAATATGACAAAGAGAGAAGAATTATATGCGACAATAGAAAGATAAATATGACAAAGAGAGAAGAATTATATGCGACAATAGAAAGTGAAATATGACAAAGAGAGAATAATTATATGCGACAATAGAAAGATAAATATGACAAAGAGAGAATAATTATAAGCGACAATAGAAAGTGAAATATGACAAAGAGAGAAGAATTATATGCGACAATAGAAAGATAAATGTGACAAAGAGAGAAGAATTATATGCGACAATAGGAAGTAATAAAAAAAGAAGAAAAACGGACATGAATGAATGATGCAATCCTATTAGAAGAGTACGGAATAAAAATATCGATTAAATAAAAAAAGATGAAATACAAAAACGCAAGAAGAAAAAAGAATATACACTAAATTATAAAGGTAAAGGAATATAAAAAAAAATACTTAAATGAACGAAAAAGAAGGCAAAAAAAGGAAGAGGGAAAACAATAAATAAAAAAAACGCATGCGCATAAGAAAAAAAATAATAACAAATGAGCATGCGCCTAAGAAAAATAAATAATAGCAAATGAAAAAAACATGAAATATGAAAAGGAAGAAAGCAATGGGAAAACAGAAAAAAAACACCAACAAAATTCCTAATAAGCGTATTGACAAATAAACACATAAAAATGAAGCAAGAAGAATGAATAACAAATGGGAAAAATACAAATGAAATATATAAAACGAAGAGAAAGATAAAAATGAGAAAAGAAGAAAGAACAAAAAAGAAAGAAACGAAAGCATAAGAAAACTAGAGATAAGTAAGAAAGAATGACGAAAAAGAAAAGTCGGAAAAGTTCTAAAAGGAAGGACGGCCAGGGAGAGGGGAAAAGAGATAAATACAGAAAATAGTGAAAATTTGACGGGAGTAAAAAAAAAATGGCGTTGATCTAAAGCCAGGCAAAATGAGGATGAGTCTTGAACCAGAAAGAACAATGGATTCATGAACAACGAAGAATAAACATGACGAGGAATTGAGAAGGAAATGAAAAAGAAAATAATTCAAATGTCGGCAGATCGTTGGGAACTTCCTGTAAGTGACTAACAGTGTTTATCAAAGCGTCAATCAATCGGTGCCATCTTCCGATTCGTTGATTTCGTTTTTCTCTTGATTCGGTAGCGCCACATCTTGACCTTCCGTCTCTGGGCTGTCGAAAGCTGCTTGTCGGCAAGAATGTTGAAGAATTAAACGAAGTAGCTTGCACGCTAATCATATCTCAAATCACTGGAGTGCTGAAAATCTTGTCGGTTTCTGTTGCTCGACATTTGCAGGAAAGCAATCTTTCTGAATCAGGCGCGTCAAAAGTATATCTTATTGTGCAAGTCTGTTTATTATACAATTATCGGAGTTTTCTCTTTTTTATCGAGCAATTTTGGAGGTAGAAAATAGTATGTAGTTCATACTACATTTTAGGACGCACTTCTGGAAAAAAAAAACAAGATAATTTGCTCCAATCAAATGATCTCTGCGGTGATTTAGTTCTAAAATCTAAATGACGTACATTTCCCTACCTCAGAAAACACGCTAGTATCGTTTTATCGTCGCCAATCCAACACTGAATTTACTAAAGTTACATTGAAATATTATTCTCTCAATGAGTTACTTCTTGGTATTTATTTTGTCTAAATTACAAACCATATATTTTTTTAAGCGTTTCACCCCAAGGAAGGCGGGAAGCCACTAGGACGCAAGGGGTTACAGAAAATTAGGAGCAAGATCAGATAGGAGTGATAGAGGGTAAAGATGAGGAGAAGGGTAGTGGATAGATCAAGGCAACTGGAGATGTCGATTGACATTTCATTTGAATAGCTGGAGATTATAGCTCTCAGTGAAACTGTAATAGGGAAGGGAGTTCCACAGGTGAGAGGTGCGAGACATGAAGCTATTGGAGTAGAAGAGACGGCTATATAACAAGGACAACTCATGTTTACATAATCCACCAAAATACGAACTTCAAAACAGGAAAAGCTTGTACATATATTGTAATGCTAAATTTATTCAGACATAACAAGATTAACACAAGTTAGATTTGTTGCATAACAGCCATTAGGTTAATGCCATCTGCCGGGAAAATATCTTACTGCAGTAAACAGTGATATCGCATTTTTATGAAAATACAGAAGACACGTTCGTCCTTCCTAATGTGTGTACATAAATATTTCAGCGGAATCTATATATATACAGGGTGTATGAAATAATATACAAATTATGGATGCAACGTAACGGAGACAAACGTTCAGCAGCCATCGATCTGGAAAACGCATCTGATACAGCCGTGATACAACCTCGCATCCATTACCATTCACGAGGCCGTACGTAAAAATCTTATCCGCATGCTTACTATATGAATATCTTGTCATTCTTAAACGGTACACGTCTCTGTTAATTCACTACTGCACACGTTAAACATTGAAGAGAGACTAGCCAAAAATGTACACGAATAACAAATAACACAGCGGAATCGACAGTAACCTTTCTTTAAACTCAGAAAAAAAGATTTGCAGACATATTTGTCCTTGTTTTTCTGTGAAGAACACGTCCACGTTTGTAAAAGTATTTTTGATACAACATATATATATATATATATATATATATATATATATTTGGTTGGATCTATCCAACCAAATATGTTAGCTCTATCTCTGATATTGAGCGCTTTCTAATAAGTACCGCGCATATAATATATAAATAATTATACATATATATATATATTTATATTTATATACACTTTTCACATATATGTGTGTGTGTGTATGTGTGTGTGTGTGACGTCACACATTATGAAATGGAGAAAGTCCCACAATTATTTTAAGTAATTTTTATGTTTATACATACTTTTTTTTTTATTATAGATACAAATATTTAAGTACATGCTCTGTTTGTAATAAACAGTATTAAACAACATTTACTGGCGTATTTAGTCGAAGAATAGTTACGTAGAAACTCTCTATCGGGTGCTGATAGCTCAGTGGTAAGTTTTCCTGACAAATGGCATTACTCTAATGGCTGTTATGCAATAAATCTAACTTGTGTTAATCTTCTTATGTCTAACCCAGTTGAACAGTAGAAAGGAAAAGTGGATCAGAAGATCACAACAGGAAGGGTGATTAACATTTCAACTTAGAGCTAAAGAGATAAATTAGAAAAGATCCAACTCAATCCATAAGATTTTTGGCACGTGAGAGAGGAGTTTCAGCTATGACAGTCCAAAGAGAAGTGAAAAAGACTTGAAAATGAAGTCATAAGGGAAACCTGTAAGGTACATTGTTACTCCGATTCTTAGCTGTAATTAATTAATGATGAACATGTCAGTTTTGTTTATGATCGATTTCATCACGATTCTTTAGTTAAGCTTAGAGTGAAATTATACATTCTTATTGCTCAAATTAGACCCCCAATAGTGTTAAGCAATACCTCGGATAATTCTTGTTTAGATATCGTTTCTAAGATAGAATACTTTAAAGCTTAATAAAGTTATTTCATGTTAAAGAACTTACGGTTCTAACTTTGTACTTCGCTGCAGCAATGGTACAAGCGTCGTGAACTCGTTTAGCAAATGCTAGTCGTCGTAAAATTCCACTGGCTGGGTTCGCTCGTACCTTCAATTTATACGTTTTTTAATCACGTGACTGGATCCTGAGAGAATTGTTTTTTCGTCAGGTCAAAAACTAGGTTGGTGTTATTCGGACGTAGTGGTGAGGAGGTAAATTGTTTTTTTTTAATATCTGTTAACCACTCAGAAAGCGCCTTACAAAACTCAGTCTCGAGCCTGATATGTTTCGTGTTGCTTATTGAGAAAAGTGTACGTGAAGATAAACGAGATAATTTTAATATTTATTGTCCAATGAGAAGTTCAGGTTTTCAGAAACATGTATGAAGATATGATCGTCTTTTTTGCTCGAAAATCGACATTGATGAAAAAGTGGTGGCGGACAGCTAAATATATATATATATATATAAAAGAAATATGTTGTAGTGGTTCCAACGAGAGAAAAGTATGTATATTAAAAAGAAGAGGGGTGCCGCAAACGTTTTTGGTTGTAATGTGGATTTATTGAGAAAAAATATTATACTTTGTTTTACATAATTTCACGACACGTGTTTCTGGTCTGGTCTCGCAACCGTCTTCAGGTGAAAGTGGAGATTTTTACATATTATTAAAAATAATTAATTTTTCTTCATGTTCAATGTGGAATATTCTCGATATGAGACATTCTGTTTTGTGTGTTGGCAATCCGAATTTTCTTTCTAGAATTGTCAATGAAGAGTTCTGCGTGAAGTGTCATAAAACAATTAAGGTTTGTCCAGCGAGTAGTTATCGGCATTTAATCTTTTAATGTTTTAGTGACCTCTATGTGCTCTTGGATCTGTTTCTATTTTGGCGTGTTCCTGTCAGCATGCGTGTATATATGCGTGCGTATATTTCTTACTACGAGGAATTCGTAAACTTATTTGTACCTATACACGCATACACACACACACACACTATCCCACCACAAGTAGTCAGTACACACACACATATACACATATTTCCCAAGTTACATGGAACCAGTACACACATACACACACACATACACACACACACACACACACACACACACACGTACTTCTTAAGTTGTCAACATCCGCATATACATACATAAATGTATGTATGTGTACACACATATATATATCTCTCCTCGTGTCTCCCGTATATGAGTGTGCGTCCATGTATGTGAGCGATCATTGTATTTGGTCACCCTGTGTGCATGTTTTTTTTTTGGAGGGGGGGTTACGATCTATTCAGTTCGGGTTTGAATTTGTCTATAAAGTTTTTTTTCCTGTATTTGTAGATACGAGTAATTGTCTGTTTGATATATCGGCATGATATTAAACTTACCCTGGTTACATTTGAAAATGTGTTGTGATACAAAAAGTTTTCTGTTGTCTGTCAATTTTATATTGCTTTTGTGTAGGGAGACCCTGTTGTTCAGTTGTTGGCTGATGCCTATATATGACTTCTTACATTTTGTGCATTTAAGTGCATAAACTACATTTTTGGAGTTGCAGTTTAAGTTTTTTGTTTATTGTGAATGTTTTTTTGGGTTTTCAAAAGTGTAGGAGTTTCCTTCTATAATGATGTCACAAACTCCACATCTTTTTTTGTTGCATTTTGTGACTCCCTGTATTTTGTGTTGACTAAATTTAGATGAGGTTCATATGTGTTTTAGGTTTCTAGATTGGCGTTTGCTCTTAATTATTTTGGTTGTTTTTAGTATATTATTCAGTTTATTATTCTTGCTAAGTAATGATTCATTTCAATATCTGCTTAAAAATATTAAACATATTCTATCGATACAGGAAGTATCTAACTCCTTCTGTTCCATTTTATCTTAGTGTCAGTTTAGACAAAGAATGTAAT